GTAGGTACTGATTAGATTACCATTATTTCAACATTATATACTGAATAATTTTATTCGTCATTTTAATGAAATATTTCCTGCAGCTACTTATTTGTGGCACAGTTTTCATTCTAGTTTATGAAAACTAATTAACACTCTGTTTCACAGGCTTGTAATATTTTATCAAGACTCTATATTGTTACTAATGGTGGTGAAACATCAACTACTTCATATTTTAATGATCCCACTATCCCCCTCAGTATACATGTCTGACCTCTGATCTGAAGCTTCGCATCGATCAATTTATTCGATACGTGTCTAACGGACCCCTAATGCCTGCCCCGTCAGGCTGGCCCGCTTTTGAACAATTCAGGTTATGTGTTTTTGTATCAATTAAGTATATTTAGACATATTTTTAGTTTTCATTCTTGCTCGTTACTACATATTGCCGGTGTTATTCAATGCTAGTTGGTCCATAGTCCATAATTCTTTAAAAGATAGACAAACATTTGTACGAAATCTATTTATTAATTTGTGACATAGAATCCGGTGTTAAAGTTTATCCAAGCATTTCGCTAACATCCCGTACAAAAATATTTTGTAACAAGTTTCTTTCGACGCAATTAAATTAAATTTAATGTCGTAAAAGTGATGTCGTACGACGCCGAACCTTTCGAACAGAACCTCTTCAGTTATTAAATTTAATTAAGTTAATTTCTAATGAAATTGATACACTGTGCCTTGTCAGGCTTAAACAATTGCCGGCGACAAAGTACCGAGATTCGTACTTTCACCTCAGGAATCTAATAATTCGCGTTTTTTAATTTAAACTAAGTACGTCGATGTGCGACGTGCGAAATACGAAAACCGTCACGTCCAGACCAGTAGCGCGACAGGAAGGCTTGGGGCCTCTACACGGACAATAGTTGGGGGGCCTAAGAGTAATAATTAAAAAAATATATATTTTTTGTAACGAAATGAAAATGCCAAAAAGATATTTCATCTCGAGTAGGAATAGATACACTGTAAAAACAAAATAGACAAAGACAACGCACGACAACCATAGAATGAAGCGGAGTCACTCAATAATAGGGACATTGACATACTCCTTTAGGTACAAGTGTACCAAAAACGAGTTTATCTAGAAAATTTATTAAACGGGTACCTATATTTGAGTGAAAATATTCAATTCAAATATCACTAATGAGTAAAATGATCAAAGTGCCCAATATTGAGTGAAAAGGTACTCAATAATTTCACTCAATTGATTCATTCCGTACCTTTATTGCTTTATTAGTATATCATTCTTATCTTCCACATAATCTACGGTCATTTTTATAAAGTCGTCACGACGATATGCACCGCCAAAGCCAATTAGGTACTAGTATAAACAATACAGAATTAAATTGTCAAAATTATCGAAAATGCCATGGTAAAATGGTTCGAGGTTACTGTTAAAAATTTGTTTATTTCTTGTCCACTAAAAGCTCTGGACTTTGCTTTATATCTTACAGATTTTTTTCTTTACGAAAGGTATTAGTTTCAAAAAGTTGCCTAACATCAATGTTCTTCTTGGGCATTAACATAGGGCATTGTTTGATTTTTCAGCCGAATAAGATACAAGAACATCATCTATTACCATTACTTGTTCCACTTTGCACCATTGTTCGAAAAAATCATGCAATTTTCGTACCTTTCCTTGGATTTCGTTTCTTTAGCATCGAATCTACTATTTTCTTCGTCACATTCATCGCTATTCACCTTTGAACGATTTGTAAAAATACATGAGTCGAAAAGTCAAAAACATCTGCTGATAGACATTTGTTTGTGACCGAAAACAATACATTTTCTAGAGCGGCAGCGCCAAAATGTTTTTTTCAGCTCATATAATTGGCTTAACTGACACGAATGAGACGTTTTTATAGTTTCCGCGAAAATGAAAAATTAAATATGATTTACTTAATCGAATAGTACACTACACTAACCAACTTATCGATGAATTTAATTTCAATAGAACGTTTTTTATTCATACCGGGAACTATAAAATAATTAAAAACTAAAATAAAATGATATCACAATGTATGTACAGAAGAAATAAAGTACTTTTTGAGGACAAAAACTAATGCTATTGAAATGATAAAACTACTAAAAAAATTATGAAAAAAATTATTTTGTAAATTGTACATATTTTATAAAATAATTTAATCTTCATTTATAAGCATTACATTAATCTATCAACCGTTAAATTTCTCCGGACAAAGGGGTCACGACTAAGCCCCCAAAACCGCGGACCCCGAGCCGCCCTACGATAGTTACGCCACTGGTCCAGACACCGCCGTCAAGTCTGATTTGAAATCGAAATTTGAGACCAGAATAGTGTGTATTGGATTCAGGGATCTATTGTTTCACTCGTACAATTGTTTACAATGCCTACCTTGACCTAGCATTGTTTTAATATACTGAAATAATGACATAAAATAAGAGATAACTCTGTCCTGTGTAATGTCTTTATAAATATTTTACATGCGCCTGCTAGATCGTAAAGTGGTAGGTTAGAATCTTTGGACAGCTCTTGGTTTGCCAACTAACTTGTGTTAGCATCGTTTTATACGATTATTATGTACTTGCTTTTAATGTTTGAAAATTTAGGTGTTTTTATAGGCATAAAAATTTCAGATACAGAGGGTAGAGGGTTTGATTTAAATTTTGTGAAATAATATAATTACAAACTTAAATGTAATTATAGATCGAGATAAGAAAAGTTTTGTATAATTTAATACTAAATATTGACTTAAAACAACATAAAGAAAACATCGAAATATGTGCATACATATACGTATACGGATGGTGGTTTGACATTAAGCTTAAATGATTCTTACAATTTTCTGAGACAGTATATACAAAAATTGCAGGTACGTTTTTGTTTTATTTCTTAATTATTATCAATAAGATTAAATGCAAATAATAATTTGTGTAAGTGGTGCTACTAACTTCTTTCTTGGATCAAAAGAAATATACAACATTGTGAAAATTGTTCAAATAATAATTATGTAAAGAATTTGAGGAAAAAACCTATAAATCGATGGAGATGCGTTAATGATATTTGATCATATAAATTTCATAATTCAAATAATTTTTTGGACTATATGAAAAATGAAGAACAATCGATTAAATTAGCTTTGGAAGTGAAAAAAATAATAATATATTATCTTATTTAGACGTTAGGAGGGCAACAAATTTTAATACGTATCATATTTCAGTTTCAAAATCCATCGTATAGGAGCAAAACTAATTTCCCCGAAAGACCAAATTTTTAAAAATGAAATAGAATTCGCGGAAAATTTATTATTAGATAATCAACGCCAACAAAGATTTGTTGACAGCTTTCAAAACCATTGAAAATACAAATAATTTCTGTCAACAAAAATTGTTACGCATACAGTGAAAGTTTACCTGAAAAATTGAAAATATTGATAATTTGTACACTATTAGAACAGTTTTCCAAACCAGCACCACACACTATCAAAAAATAAACAGGAAAATTTTACATAAAATCCTAAACACTGTATTTACAGTAGAAATAAAACCAAGAAAATTCGTGTTTATTTTGGTAATATGTATTGACTAACTGAAGTTACTTGTTTGTGGCATACTTTTCGTTTTTATTTATTTATTTAGTTATTTATTGAGTATATGGCACAACTGTGAGTAAAATTAAAAAACAATCATGCCCAAGTCCAAAAGTCAAGCGTCATTTCTCACGAAAATAGTTTTGCCTTACCCAAAAGCTTACACTGAAAAAAGCAGATAAATACAAATTACACAACACTCTATACGACACTTTTCAAAAAGTTGTTGACGTTTCGAAAATCAATCCGTTTTCGTCTTATGAATTATTAATTACTTTTGGTTTTAATTGTTTATGTCAGTTTAAATTTGATCTTTTTGTATATTTAGAGATATCATATGGTGTTTATTATATTATTACTTATTCCATAAAGTGACCCTAGACTGATCTTTTTGACGTAAGGGTTTATTTAATTAATTTTTTTTTAATTTTGTTTACAGGTGGCAAAATACCTAATAAATAAAGGAAAAAAACGGTGTTCCAAATCATTCCCTAAATTTTGGAGGTTGAATATTCCTCACAACGAGGTAAGTAAAAATAAAATAAATATTATGTGACATCTTATATCTCTGTAGAAGGTAGACGAACAAAATTTACAAAATGTGACATTTAATTTTTTTTTAGAGTTTTGTGTATTTAAGTCTTTGTTTTCTGTGAATCAGAAATATTCAATTAAATAAAACTAGTAATTTCATTACGTTATCGAAACTGGTTTTCCATTTTTTCCATATTCTTCAAATACTTTACGAAATTTTCAGTTTGTTTCTAGAAAATGTTAAATAAAATCCAGGATTCGTCGATTCATTCAGTATTTTCAGTAATAAATTCAATTTTATCTTCAGAAAACATTATTCAGATATATTTCAGATTGGTGGATTCAGCTCTTGAAAAATTCATAGCACTTAACTTTCAGAAAAGCAAACTGATTTTCAAAAAATTAGAGAAAGCACAGAAATTTCAGAAAGCTGTTAGTTACTAGGGTACAAAATTGCGTTGGTATTGGACATTGGACGAATCCTTTAACACATTTGATCATTTCTGGACACACAAATGACTGAACTGAAATACAATTTACATTATCTCAACTAAAACTTACTGTTCCTAAATACGCTTCAAGTTTTCTGAAATACATGTGACTAATATGTAATTCAGATTTAGCTTTCTGAAATAAAACTAACTCGTCTGAAATGCGATTGACTCTTTCAGAAGTGTTAGAATATGTTGTTGTGATTTTGGGCTTCCAAAGCAACTACTTAACGCAATTTAAAGTCGTTTGGCTTCGAATTTACGAATCCTCTTCGACGACAGTCAAAATCGCGCATCACAAATTGTGGCGAAGGAGCTGGAAGTAAACCCGCCACAAAGCGTGCCGACTAACGCACAACCAACTTACTGAAATGGATACGTGCTGTTACAATCATCGTCAGAAGCCATCTTACAAATAATCCCTCTTACATACACCACTTGTCTTTAATGTTATCACTTCATCATCGACTCATCAGCTCGATCGTCACACATGCAAGTCTCTCGGGGATTCTCCGTTTGAGGAACGAACTGAAACGTGCCGTATATTCAAACTTTCAACTAGCACCGATGTCATTCGCACAAGTTTAAGTCGATTCAAAGCCTCTAGCGCACAGTATCGCCCGCAACCGAACCAATGGACCAATTCGTCTTGATGAAGTGCACCCCGACAAGCTCCAACGACACTTTCCACGGGAGATCACCACCAAGATGTGCAACAGGCACTTGTTGCGCTTCCGTCGGATCGTGGTAGGCCAGGTGCGCGTGTAACCGCTCTCGTGGAAACGGTGATACTGATGTTCGAGTAGTAGGCTGGGTACCCGCCATACCGCGACGGTAAGGGCCTCTACTTTACCTGTGGAGGTGCGCGTGGCGGGTCCGCCACCGAGCGGATGGCGATTTCTCTGATTAAAAACGATTTTTCGACGGTTTTGGTTTCGGTTTCGGGTTTCGGTAAATCTGGAAGCACCTTGTGGGTTTGCACTCGTACTAGCTTGATTATTGGTTGATCTGACGTCACACGAGATAATGTAAATTTACCCTGCACAGATAAAATTACATTATAGGCGTAAAATTTTATATTTTTTCTGTAATCTACACAAAATGTAAATTCTCATATCGATGTACATGTATTTGCGACACTTTAAGTGCAATTTTAATAAGAATCAGGAATACTACACGCTATTTTAAGAATAGAAATCATTACATTGTAAAATTTCTACAAAGAATACGTTTCTTTTTTACGTATTTACCTTTTTCCAAAAGATATGATGTACATAAATAAACAGGAAATCACTAAATTACTTAAAAAATAATAACGCTATAAATGGTATACCTACATTACCAGGAAAAAATGTAAATCTTTGATCTATTTATAAAGATCAGTATACAATGTTATTTAAACTTAATTATGCTAATTAAGTACATATATTTTAAAAAATACTATAGTACACTTAACAGAAGGTTTAAATTAACAGTCTGTAACATTCAGTTATTAGTTCTGAGGTTTTGTAGAGGAAACTAACACAAAAGATATCCGAATTGTCCAATCCCAAATCACCAAACTTTCAGAAATATCGAAAGATGTCTTAATCGAACTGTGAAAAATACCTCCTCCTTCGAACTAATCTACTGATAGTTTTTGTCTTAAAGATGAAGAGTTTGCTTAAAATGGTTCCATCTTGTAAAATTGTTGTATATGTAATAATTTTGGGGTTATTTGGAAAGACATCCGAATCGTTCAATCCCAAATCATCTTAACTTCAATAATATCGGAAAACGTCTTCGAGAAACTAATGGGTTTAAAATTATCCGAAGTAATGCCAGACTTCCTCTTCAAGCTTAGGCACCTATTATGGAAGAAAAAATTCTGGAAATGGTGAAAGAAAAGCCTGCAACAAGTGTCATATTGATACAGAGGAGAACTGTAGTTTCTAGAGGTACAATTTTAAGAACAACTAATTCATCCTTTTAATTTTAATCCAGTTCTACCTTCTACCTCTTGATGTCGTCTTCAATTCTCCCAGATTGTTCGCCAGTACAGATCTGGAGATATGAATTTCCACAAGAAATTTCTTTGTTTTTCACCAAACGTTGGATAATAATTAATAAGTATCCATAACCAGCACGTTCGCCCAGATAAAAATGCCCATGTCGTTATGGAAAGACAATTTCAGAGCAAATTTAGCATATGGGTTTTATCAGTGCTTTCTGCTTGGTTCTATTAGGTTACCAAATCGTCCCGATGGCAACATTTTTTGCAAAACACTTGCTTGACGACCTACCAATTAATAAGCATTTACAAGAACAGTTAAATGATCAATACCCCACATATGTATAGGCAGTAGACACGATGCTCCAATTCACTGGCCACCACGTTCACCTGACTTAAATCACTGTGATTTTTTTTATTTGGGGGTCCTTAAAACAGAAAGTGAACCCTGTAAGAATTGATAGTGAGGACAATTGTAGAAAAGGATTGAAGATGCTGTTCATAATTTGCAGAAACAAGGAATAATGAAAATAGTGCATTTTAAATTTTTCTGTAGAATTAATTTATGTGCTGCAAATTATTAGTTAAATTTAAAATTACTACGTCTTTGAGACATAGACAATAAAAAAAATTCTACCGAACCAAGCATAAACATAAAAAAAGTCATAAAAGTGCACGTACATTTATTGAAAATTAATTAAAATGAATGTCAGTAAGATTTATTTATTTAGGACTGTGTATTTTCTATGGCACGGTAGCAATAAGGAACGTATTTGTATAATTCTGTGGTATTTAACGGTGATTATTTTAGTTTTTTTAATCACAATGGAAGCACATTCTTATGGAAATTATTATTAACAAATAAAACACATTTTTAAGTTCACTCTTACGTAGCTGTTTACTTTTTGATTATTTCTATGATAACACAAGGATTATTTACAATTTATGAGAAACAGAGCTCCAAAAAATTTCCGCTCGTATTTGTTCGTCTGTATTATTTAAACTAGATATAATTAGATGCAAAAATAGAAGATACGAGCGAAAATTTTTAGTGGATACTAGTAATTTCCGAAATAAACTACTGCTTAAGTATTTGGATTATTATAACCATTGTTAAATGGCACGAGCACATTTTTTTATGGAATTCTTTATTTCTATTCCAGAACAAGTTATTGAGAAGAACTTGATTGTTAAAATAACTTTTATTGATATCAGAACCGTCAGTTGACTAGCCAGTCAATTGTTCGATTTATTCCCTTACTTTTTTACGTTATTTTACGGTTTTTCAGCACTACAATTTTCTCGATATCTAAAACGTTTAATTTTAACGTTTACGCAACCTAAGTATTCATATAACATTGTTTTTTGGTTTTGTGAGTCATATTTACACGAGCAGTTCGATAAAATAGTCAATTTAACGTTTCTTCATTTGACTTTACTGCAATTGTTTTATTTTGTACAATTTTCTCTGTATTTTATAACGTTTTACTGTAACAGTTGCGCCAATTATGCATATAACGTTTTCTGTGAGGCATATTCGCGAAGGGAATTAATTAAAGTTACATTTTCTTTTCTGTTTTATAACATTTAATTTAACGAACACATATAACGTTCCTTATAAGTTATATTAACAAATGGAATTAATTAAATTTACATTTTGTTTAATGTTCTCGTTTTTATAACGTTTAATTTTAATGTTTATGCAACCTATGCATATAACATTTCCTAAAAGTTATATTCTCATACAGTGTTAATTAAAAGTATGTTTTGTTTAATATTCTCGGTTTCTATAACGTCTAATTTTGACGTTTACACAACATATGCAAATAACATTGTTTATGAGTCACATTTACACGAGGAGTTAATTAAAACAGTCAGTTTAACGTTAATTCATTTGACTTTACTGCAATTGTTTCATTTTGTACAATTTTCCCTGTATTTCATAACGTTAAGTTATATTTTCTTTTCTGTTTGATAACATCTAATTTAACGTATATATAACGTATACATATAACGTTCCTTATAAGTTATATTAACAAATTGAATTAATTAAATTTACATTTTGTTTAATGTTCTCGTTTTTATAACGGTTTAATTTTAACGTTTGTGCAATCTATGCATTTAACGTTTCATAAAAGTTATATTCACATGCAGTGTTAATTAAAATTATGTTTTGTTTAATATTCTCGGTTTAACGTATATGTATATAACGTTTCCTGTAAGTTACATATATTCACATATGGAGTTAATTAAAATTATATTTCGTTTAATGTTCTCGTTTTTTATAACGTTTAATTTTAACGTTTATGCATCCTATGAATATATCGTGTCCTAAAAGTTATATACAGTGTTGATTAAAATTATGTTTTGTTTAATTTTCTCGGTTTCTATAACGTCTAATATTAACTTATGCATATAACTTTGCCATATTTACACGTGCAGTTAATTAAAACCGTCAGTTTAACGTTTCTTCATTTGACTTTACTGCAATTGTTTTATTTTGTTCAATTTTCCCTGTATTTATAAAGTTTTATTGTAACATTTACGCCAACTATGTGTATAACGTTTCCTACGAGGTATATTCGCAAAGGGAATTAGACTTATATTTTCTTTACTTTCTCCTGTTTTATAACATCTAATTTTAACGTATATATAACGTACACATAAAATAACGTTCTTTATAAGTTATATTCACAAATGGACTTAACTAAATTCGCATTTTGTTTAATTTTTCATTGTTTTATAACATCCAGTTTTAACGTATATATAACGTATACATATAACGTTTCCTGTAAGTTACCTATAATCACATGGAGTTAATTAAAATTATATTTCGTTTAATGTTAAATGTTCTTTATTTGACTTTACTGCAATTGTTTTATTTTGTACAATTTTCCCTGTATTTATAAAGTTTTATTGTAACATTTACGCCAACTATGTATATAACGTTTCCTATGAGGTATATTCGCGCAGGGAACATCTAATTTTAACGTACATATAACGTATACATATAACGTTCCTTATAACTTATATACACACATGGAATGAATTAAATTTACATTTTGTTTAGTTTTCCTTTATAACGTACATTTTTAACGTTTACGCAATTTAATATATCCTGTATTCACACATGGAGTCAATTAAAATTGTATTTTATTTAACGTTCTCAACTTTTATAACGTTTAATTTTAACGTTTATGTAACTCCTGCATATAAAGTTTCATAAACGTTATATTCGCATGCACTGTTAATTAAAATTGTGTCTAAATTTAACGTACAAATTACATTCGCACATGAAGCTAATTAAATAAGTGAGTTTAACGTTTCCTCAACCTTTGGATGAAAAATCGTGTAATTAAAAACGTTACATTTTCAAATTTAACGTCATATCAAGCAAAACGTTATTTAAACCGTCATCTACTCGTTGGGTCATTTTGTTTACGCCAACAGAACATATTTTGTAAGTTCCATATTGCACAATAGATCACTTAAAATACATTCTAATCATCAATCTAGGTACGCAACAGCTTGGGTCGTTATTTTTCCCACAATTTCGAACGGCGTTTCACAAAATTTCAGATACGCGAATAACTAGGACGACCAGTTTGTTACTTGTAATTTTAATAATTAAAATTTGGGTCAATAATTAAAATGGTATAATTTATATTGTAAACAAGCATTCAACAACAGAAATGGATGTGTGAATTTAAGAACAATTGAAGTGATATAACAGTCGACACAGTTTTTGCCGCAGTCTTTACGGATTTCCTCGTCA